CGAGTTCCTGCTCCTAATAAATGTCCAGTAAATAGTTGTTAATGCTGTGGACTCAGCTCTGACTTACAGCAACTAAATGTATGTACGCTAGAACAAGCACTGCCTGACCCTGGCACCTTGCCCATGTCACCCCGGCCGTGTCATACTGCCTGTCCACCCTGTCCATGTCACCTGCCTGTGTCACCCCACCCACGTCACACTGCCCGTGTCACCCTGTCCTGTCACCCTGCCCATGTCACCCTGCCAATGTTGCCCCATCTGTGTCACCCTGCCCGTGTCACCCTGCTGGTGACTGAGCCCATCATTGCAGCCACTGTGTCAATTCGTGGCATTGACAGCCTTCCTCTCTCGCTGTCCTGAGAACATGAATAACCATCCTTGCTTCTAAGGAGCATCCTGACTGCACTGTTCCCAAACAGACTTGTTTGTTCTTTTGGCCAGCTGTACATAGTATAGTCACTACTCTCCGCTAACACCATCATGCGATCTTCCATTCTCTTCAGTAATTCTTGTTCATTGTCTGGCTTTTCCGTGTACATATGAGATGATTGAAAACGCCATGGCTTGAGTCAGGGGCACCTTAGTCCTCAAAGTGCCATCTTTGCTCTATAGCACTTTAAAAAGATCCTTGGCTGTAGGTTTGCACTAAGTTGTTTGAATTCTTGACTGCAAACTGCTACTGTCTTGAGTACTGATTGTGGATCCAAGTAAAATGAACTCCTTCACAACTTCTTCAATCTTTGCTCCCTTTATGAATAGATATTAGTTACTATTATTATTAATGTTGGTGGTAATCCTTAACTCAGACCAAGTCTGTGTTTAAGGGTGCTGACAATGAGAACTGTTAAGCCCCTGCTCTCAATGCTTTCCTGTGAGGGTTTCTCCGTGGTCACATGAAATTTAAACCTCCTTATCGGGCTGCTTTGCACCATTTGATCAACACACCATTTCCTGGGCAATCTGACCTCAGATTAAACTTAGATTGGTTTCTGTTAGTTATCTTCCGCCTCCCGCCCGCCCCGCTCCTAATTTTAAAAAATGTGACCTTGGGCAAATCTTGAGACTCAGCACACTGGTTTCTTTGTCTGCAGACCTCCTGAGGGGGTGGGAGCAGGAGGGATGGCAGAGACCCAGCCCTGTGGAAAATCTTCTTGGGAAAACAGTCCCACTCAGGTGCAGGCTGTCACCAGGTCCTGGGACCTACCCTTCAGACTGATGACAGGCTGAAGTAGTGTCCCCTCGAGCTCCTCCTGGCTGTCTTCATCTGCACACTTATGAAGCTGCTCCCTAAAGTTGAAGATACTGTGAATGCAAAATCAGTCTTCTTATTCATTCTCCTTTCACTTGCCCTCAGACAAGGAGCTCTGACATGTAGTTCACCCTCTATGCTGCGTGGTGGTGGTGGTGGTGGTGATGGTGGTGATGAGTGGTGGTGGTGGTGATGGTTATGGTTGTTGTGGTGTGGTGGTGATTAGTGGTGGTGATTAGTGGTGGTGGTAATGGTGGTGGTGGTGGTACTAGTTGTTCTCAGCCTTCTACCCCTTTTGGGTCCCTCTCACTTTTTGCTCTTTTCAAGCAGCTTCTCTCTCTTCTTATGGGATTCATGCAGTTCCCTCATCACTTCTCCCTTGCCCAATTTCCGTTCCTTGATCACCTGACCTGGTCTAAACTCTCCCAGACAAAGAGCAACAGAGCTGGGTGAGACTTAAACCCAGGACGAAGCCTTTGCATGGAGGCTTTAGAGACCCCAAGAATCTTGGTCTCCCTTCTGAAGGCGTCTTCTTTGTAAGCATAACTACTGTGTGACAAGAGTCTGGCACCCTGGCTGGTTCTGAGCTTCCTTGTTAAACCTTTCAGCCACATAGCAACAGAGGTTCCACCACTGTGGTTCCCAGTGCCTGGTATGAGGATGTAAATAATTTCCTTTTTAAGACATTTGAAAATTGTTTATTCAATATGAATAGTTCTTTTTCCATTTTTGGACTTTACTTGTACCTTTGGTTTTGGACTATGGAACGGACAACTGTTTGCGTCTACCTTCCTGTAATACTATCTTAATCAGGCCTTCAACCCACTGACTTGGATTTGATTCTGGCTCAAGTCCTACCATCAGGCTTCTGAGGATGCAAACCTGGAGTGGAGAAGACTGACCATCTTTCTTGGTAGAGTGTTCAGTGGATGCAAACCACTGACCTTCCACTTATTAAATACCGTGGAGTCAGATCGGACATGGAATTGACCCTCCAGCAGGTTCCCAGAGGCGGTAAATTGCATGGGAGGAGACTTCACCTCTTTCTGTCCTGGAGTGGTTGGTATATTAGAATTGCCACGGAGGTTGGCCTTTGGGTTGGCAGCACAACACCTTATGGACTATGCTTATATATTTGCAACAAATAATTAGAAGATGAAATGAAGTTGCCATTTACAATGGCATAAAGAGCCATAAAATATTTAAGGGCAGAATGAATAAAACATATATTGGAATTTTACATTGAGAGCTGTAATACGGGGAGCTCTGGTGGCCTTGTGGCAAGATGCTGCACTGCAATCCCAGAGGAACACGGTTCGAATCCACCAGATGCTCTGCCGGAGAAGGAGGCGCAATATCCTCCTGTACCAGTCAGATCTGATTTGATGGTACACGCACACAAAATAATAATAAAGGGGAAAAAAAGAGAGCTGTAATACATGTTTGAGAGAAATGAAAGAAGGTCTAGACAGAGAGCTTGTTGTTGTTGCCTGCCATTGAGTCGAGCGTGACCATAGCCAGCTGGTCTATGAACACAAGACCTAATGCCTTTCTGTAACTGTCGTCATTTCACCAAGTTCATAGAGTTTCCAGAGGCATGTGGTTTAGGAAGTGGATGCCATTCCTGCTTGTAAGCCTGTTTTACAACTGGGAGCTCTACCAAACACTGTCCACACTGGTAAGCCATTCTGGTATTTGATACCCCAGTGGTACAAGGTTCAGCATCACAGCAACCCAGGTTACTTCATACTGCACATTGACAAAGAGTAATGCTAGGTTATGTAAAATACACAAAAGCAAACTCTTAGATTAATCCTGACCCCAGGGTGTTGGATGCCATCAGTTCACCTCTGGTTCACAGCGATTCTAAGTACAACAGCCAGAACCTGCCTCACCCGGCACCATCCTTACAATCTCTGCTGGCCTTCAGCTCATTACAACCGTCACTGTGTCAGCCCATGTCCCTGAAGCTTGTCCTTTTTGATGACCTTCTGCTTTTCCAAGCACGATGCCCTTTCCCAAGCACTGACCTCTTTTGATAACATGCCCAAAAGATTTGGAACGAAGCCCCGCTATCCTTAGTTCTAAGGTGCACTCTGGCTGCACTTTTTTCAAGGCAGGTTTGTTTGTCCTTCAGGCAGCCTAAATGAATGTTTATACTCTTTATCAACGGCACAGCTCGAAGATATAACTATTCTTTGAATAAAAGAATAAAAGTGAATAATTCCCATACTAAGCAATGTCAGTCTTATCACAACATCAGAAGCCTACAAACACCTCTGTTAAATACACAAGTCTTCATCTCCGTATTTGGTGATTCTGTTTGGGAAAGTCTGCAGTCAGAGACCTCTCCAAGGATCTGAGGAGCAACGATGTCAGTCCAGAGACTAAGGTGCTCCATTATTTGCTACACTTCAGAGAGCTGAACAATGACTAGGGATGATAGAAGGAGAGTTCATACCTTTGAGCTTTGGTGCTGGAGAAGAGTACTGAATATACCATGGACTGCTAAGAGAACGAACAGGTTCATTCTAGAAAGGGTGAAATCAGGCTGTCCTTGGAGGCAAAGATTCTGAAGCTTCATCTGACATAGTTTGGACATGTTGCAAGGAGGGCCCAGTCCTTGGGAGAGGGACATCATGCTTGGGAGGGTGGAGGGACAGCGCAAGAGAGGAAGACCCTTGATGAGATGAATTGATTTCGTCATGGGGGTAATGGGGTTAGGTGTGTCAGAGACAGTGAGATTGGCACAGGATAGAGCAGGGTTTAAGGCTGTTGTATACAGGGTTGCTATGAGTGGCAAGTGACTTGGCACATAACAACAACAACAACATCAGTCCCCAAGTTATCAGCAGATCATATGATGTAAAAATGACTTGATGGAGGGGACGCCTGACCTCCTCTAACTTCATAAGGAGCGCAATGATCAGCATCAACAGCCCAAGGGTGAATCTGATAGGACAGAGGCCAGACACACTCGTTCCCTTCAACGTTTTTATCAATTCTGACTGAACTGTTGGTCCTACAACACTATACTTCTCCGCTGGGATTCAGTCATTTGTTGCGATGGCCACACAGAACTTGCAGACTATACTCATGACTATGGGTCTCGTTACAGTTCAGGATCAGAATGGCTCAGGATCGAATTCTTCCATCAGAACTGTCTCTTCTCAGCTGTTCCCATAGATAGACCTCTCTGTTGTCCTCAGGCAGGTTGCTGTCCTTTGGCTTCTTTAACACGTTGCCGCACACTTTTAAAATTGACAACCGTGCTTAGAAACACATTTACCGTCATTTGTGGCAACGTGTTAATAAGCACCCATAGGCATCTCACTCTGACCAGAAGGCACTCCGCTTTCTCACTTCACATTCTGGGAAACCCACTGCAACTCTCCTGCTGTCAGTCTCCTGGCTCTGCGGCTGTCTCTCTGCTACTGCTTCTTACTGTCCCTTTCCAATTCCAATGTTACAATTACTTCTCTGTCTCCTGGATGTCGGTTCCACGCCCTTCTCCTTGATGGCAGTCGGCCCGCTTGTGTCTGTGGAATGACTGACTCATTTTCAATCTGGCAAGACGGCAAAACTGACCAAACGTCTTGTTAGAGCGCCATGTGCCTCACTGGCACGTGGTCCCACGCCACTTTATTCCACACTGTCAGCCAGGCATGCTGAAGCGTAACTTGGTGCACCACAGCGTAGTCCCACCCAGTCATTTGGTGGGAACTACAAATATGCTGGCTGAAAAGGCTGCATGAAGAGAGTGATTGCGCTGGACACAGACGTGAGTAACTCCTCTTCCCTCTTCCTGCTTCTCTTGAACTCTCCACAGGTGGAACAAGCCACTCGGTAAGCCTTCTTACTGGGTAGTAGGTTCAGGATATGTTGTTGTTGTTAAGTGCTGTTGAGTCACTTGCAACTTGTAATGATCTTATGCACAACAGCCCTAAAACCTGCTCTATCCTGTACCAACTGCATTGTCTCTGACTCACCTACCCCATTACCCCACTCACTGCATCAGTCCATCTCATCGATGGACTCCCTCTCTTTCTCTGTCCCTCCTTCCTTCCAAGCATGACGTCCCTCTCCAAGGACTGGTCTCTCCTTCCAACATGCCCAAAGGATGTCAGACAAAGCTTCAGAATTCCTGCCTCCATGGAGCAGCCTGGTTTCACCCTCTCCAGGATGAAACTGTTTGTTCTCCTGGCAGTCCATGATATGACCAATTCTTTTTCTTCCACATTTCCTTTTTTAGAAACTTACTTTTCAGATGGGGCAGGAAGCAATCCAGATGTGGAATGGAGCTGGACTTAGTCAGTGGGGTGTATAAGACTTAGGACAAGAATGGAGCCTGACTCCTTCAGGAAGGTACATTGGGGAACCTTGTCATCCCCAAATCCTGTGATGGCAGGTATATTAACACCATCACTCTACAATCTTCACCTACTGTGGCTCTATTCAGAAGAATTTTCTATTTTAGTTGAGCCCAGATTTTACCTTTGCTGACAGTCAAGAAAGAGTGTCCCAAATACAGGAAGGCTACCTATCCCCTCATGTCCAGCTTTCTCCAGTTATGCTGCAGGGACAAGTAAAATCACCATGGGTTTGCTTGGCGCCATCTTGATCCATGGCTAATACAGGAAGTTGTTGTTTAAAGATAAGGAAACCACAGTCAACACCCTCCCTCAGTAATCTGATGGAGTCTCAGAATAGCTAAGTCATTTTTACTCTGGTGTTAACCTATGCAGAATTAAGATGATCTCCAGCCTGATTCTCCATGGGAAGCCGTTAAGCTGCATGAGCTCAAGTATTAACCCAAACACAAACTCAGGTAAGAACTTCTGGCTTCCTGGGAAAAGGGCAGGTAAGTGGTGACAGAGGGGAAAATTCAACAGACTCCACAGCCTTCACCTAACTCATCTAACCACTGCAATTAAGTTGGTTCTAATTAATAGTAATCCTGTGAACAGATCAAACCACAGTGCGGTCCTTTGCTAGCTTTACAATCATTGCTATGTGTAAACTCATTATTGTAGCCACATTAGTCCATCTCACGAGAGTCTTTTTCTTTTTGCTGACCCTCATGTTATACTGCAGCCTTCAATGTGGATTGCATCTCAACATCAAGAAAAGAAAAATCCTTGCCGCTGGACTGATGGGCAGCATCATGACAGACAGAAGAGTGATTGAGACAGTCGATGGCTTTGTCTTATTTGGATCCACAATCAATAAACTTTGTATCATCAATCAGGAGATCAGGACATTGTATTGCACTGGGAAAGTCGGCTGCCAGGGGCTTCTTCAAATTATTGAAGAGCAGTGATATCTGCTTGAGCACTAAGGTGCACCTAAATCAGGCCATGGTCTTTTCAGTCACTTGTTACGTATCTGGGAGCAAGGCAATGAATAAGGATGACAGGAGAAGAACTGATATCTTTGAATTGTAGTGCTAGAGAAGAATACTGAATACCCCCTTGTCTGCCAAAAGAACCAACAGATATGTCTTGGAGAAGGTGCAGGCAGAGTGCTCCTTGGAGGCAAAATAGGTGAAGCTTCATCTCATTTATTTTTGGGCTTGATAGTAGTAGAGGCAATTCCTTGGAGAGGGACGTCATGCTTGGAAAGGTGGAGGGAACAATGACAGAGAGGAAGGCTCTCAACAGCGGGGATTGACACAGTGACTGCAGCACGGGGCTTGAGTCTGTGAGAGATGTGGAGGATGGCACAAGATAGGACAGGTTTCAGATCTGTTGTTTATGGTGTCATTTTGAGGTGGACTTGACTTGATGGCACCTAACAACAACCACCACTTTACCAAGCATGACGTCCTTCCTCAAAGAGTGGTCCGTTGTGATAACGCATCCAAAGTCCATGAAATGATAGTTCATCATTCTTGTTTCTAAAGAGCATTATGACTAGATTCCAAGATAGATTGGTTCGTTGTGCATTAATTATCTCCAGTACCATAACTGAAAGGTTATCAATTCTTCTTTTTTCCTTATGCCTTGTTAAGCATTTGCATATAACCCAGTGATATAATCCAGTCCTCATCCTCCACTCCCACTTCTTCACCCCCCTTAAGTTCCCACATATGTCTTAATGGTTATCCTCCCATTTTTACGATAATGTTCTTATGCAGTATTTGTCTTTATGAGACTGCGTTAGTGCACTCAGCATAATGCTCTCCAATCTCTCCTACGTTACACTGAATTTTTTTTTTAAATGATTGCTCTGCATACTGCATAGTATTCCACTGTGTGAATGTATCACAATTTCCCAATCCATTCAGTTGTGGTTGGACATTCGGGCTGTTTCCACGTTCTTGAGATGGTGAATAAGGCTGCCATGAACATTGCTGTACAGATCTCTGTGTACTATCGACCTCTTTACACTGTTAAGAAGCGAAGATGTCACTTTGAGGACTAAGGTGTGCTTGAAGCAAGCTTTGGTGTTTTTAATTGCTTCAGTGACAGGCTGGCCAATGGAGAAGAAAGATTGAAGACTACTGGATGTACTGAATTGTGATGTTGGTGTATCCTCTTGAGTGTACACCATGGATCACCAGAAGAATGAACATATTCATCCTGGAACAAGTGTAGCCCCAAGAATGCTCCTTAGAGGCCTGGATGGTGAGGCTTCCTTGCATGTACTTAGGTCTTGTCATCAGGAAGAACCAGTGTTTTGAGAAAGATTGTTGTTTATTATGTGCCACCAAGTCACTTGCTACTCATAGCAACCCTGTGTACAACAGCCCTAAACCCTGCTCTATCCCTTGCCAATCTTATTGTCTCCAACACGCCTAACCCATTACCCCAGTGACAGAATCAATACATCTCATCGAGGGTCTTCCCTGCCTGTGCTGTCCCTCCACCCTCCCAAGCATGATATCCCTCTCCAAGGACTGGGCCCTCCTTGCAACATGTCCAAAGTATGTCAGACAAAGCTTCAGAATCCTTGCCTCCAAGGAGCAGCCTGGCTTCACCCTCTCCAGGATGAACTTGTTTGTTCTCCTAGCAGTCCATGGTTTATTCAATAGTCTTCTCCAGCACCACAGCTCAAAGGCATCAACTCTCCTATCATCCCTAGGCATTGTCCAGCTCTCTGAAGCATAGCAAGTAATGGCAAAGACCACGGCCTGGATCAGGTGCACCTTAAGCTCCAGAGAAAAGTATGCTTTAAAAAAGTAGATCAGCAAAAAAGAGGAGGACCCTCGGTGAGCTGGATTGACCTGGAGGATGCAGCAGTGAGTTTAAGGCCCGCAGAAGCTCGGAGGGTGTCACAGGACACAGGAGGCTCTACTGTACTGTGTTCAGGAGGGTTCATCCTGTTGTACACAGGATCACTGCGAGTCACAACCAACCCAATCCAACAACAAAACCTGTACCAGGAAAGAGGAGCCCTGGCGGGGCGGTGGGTGAGAACTCACCTGATAACAGGAGGGCTAGTGCTTTAAGCCCATTCGCCGTTCCACAAAAGCTGCTGCAAAGAAGCACTGGGGACCCTATGTAGAGAGATCTCCTCCACCCTATCACTCACTCACTCATTGTTCTTGAGTAGCTGACCCTTCAGTGGGGTCTCCTTGACTCTAAATCACATGGGAGGACACCGCCCATATTTCTCCTTCAGGGAAGTTAGTGGATTCGAACTGCTTATTTTGGGGTTGGCAGCATGACTCTTTTACCTGCGAGGTCCCCAGAGCTCCCTGCCCTACAGGATGCTGTATGCTAGGATACACATGATGGTAACAGGTTATGTACCAGGGACCCGCAGCAATAAACAGTGGAAACAGACTTCCTGGTGTCTCAGAGCTTATTGTCCAATGAGGCAAACAAGACAGCAATAGACATTTTTCTATGACAGCTAACTACAAATGCTATACGGTAGTGGCTGTCAAGGTGGCTGTCAAGTTCTAATCACCTGCGGAGCATATTAACATCTTGATACCCAGGCCTCTCCCCAGACCTATTACCTCAGAGTGTCCAGAGGTGGGACTCAGGCAGCAGCATTTTGTGAAACTCCCTGGGTGGCTGCAAGATGACCTATGTTGAGATCCATTGTTAAAGTGCTTGAAGCAGCTGTTGAAGGAGACTGGGGGTGGGACCGCTCTGCACATGGTGACGAGGGCAGGCCTCTCTGGGTCAGGCGATTTGGGCTTTGGTGCGCCTCAACCTAACATCACATCAGCCTTGTTGGAAGACAAATGTGGTTTTCATCTGTATGAATACTTTATTAACGAAACGGGAGGCTCTCTAATACCAAGAACTATTGTTAAGCGGGTTGAGCGGTAGAGTTAGAACTTGAAGAGTTAAGGTTGAAAAGACATATAAATAGTAGGGAGAGACTTCAGGAGGCGAAGTCTAATCCCATAAGGGCCAAACTCCTAGGGGACTCGTCAGTGGTGGTGATATGACCTTCCCTTCACTCTCCCATCACTCTGCCAATTCTCCTTCAAGTTTCTGAAGTCAGCTAGAGGCTAGTAAAGTGACTTTCCTTCCTATATTAATAGGTCTTGTCTGCTGAATCCCAGAGGCTCTTGTGATGACTTAAATGCAAACTTCACAATGTCCTGTAACTAGGTCAGTTATGATGCAAAAAAAAAAAAAAAAGTATGAGACTTCCCCCCAGGTTCCCATCAAATTATGATTCAAACAAACCAGAGGGTTAACATCCCCCATCCCAGCTGATTTAATTTCATCAGAGAATGAGGAAGACAGGCTGTCAGAAGATTGGAAGACCCAGGGTTACAGATCCAACCGTCCAAGGAAGGAAATCTGCAGAGGAGAATTCAAATGAGAAGAAAAGAAATTCAGGCAAAATATTCAGCCCTTGTGTCTTCCGGGATAGAGGCTTCCTGTTTCAACAAGAGGCTCTTCCCTTAGCCTCACAGCTGGAGTGAGTGTAACCTGTCCTTCTGGATCTTTCTTTTCTATCAATACTAGAAAGAAGCCAAGTAAAGAGCTTGCTCTGTGATGACAGAAAGCTCTCCGCCGCTGTGACATTGTGGTTGCTGATGTTAGGTGTCATCAGCTTGGTTCTGACTCAAAAAACTACCCTAAGTTCAACAGAACAAAACCCTATCCTGTCTCAAAAGTTTTATTATGTCTGACTAAATTATTGCATCCTTTATTAAACTATCTTGCTGATAATCTTCCTCTTCTTCATTGGCCCGCTATCAAACATGATGCCTTTCTCCAAGAATTGATCCCTCCTGATAACATAGCCAAAGTGTGTGCGGTATAATCTATCTTTGCTTGTAAGGAGCATTTTGGTTGCACTTCTGCACATTAGACTTATTGTGCTAATGTGGACTTATCCTCGGGGACGTCTCTCAGTCCAAATGGGAAATCTAGGTAGATGTTTGCTAATATATCTATTTCTCTGCCTTCCAGGATATGGACCAAGAACTACAAATTTGACCCACGCATTGCCCTTGGAAAATACTCACCCATGGAAAAAGAGATTATTGTAAGTCCTTTGAAGCTTATACCTGGGGAGCCCTCACTGAGTGCAGTTTCTCTAGGTGGATGGGATGAGGTTCAAAATTCACCGTCACCACTGAACTCTCCCAGTAGACTGGCTGAATGGCTTCCACACTCTTGCATAGCAAAAGGAAGGCTCTCATTTAAGAATGTCAACCTTTGATCCACTATAAGTAATCACAAATGATGAGAGCTACCATTTCTATTGTTATTTTAGTGAAAAATTACAAAGCCTATTAGTTTTCATTCAAGAATCCACACAAACTTTGTTGTCTAACATTGTTTACAATATTTACAATGTAATCACACTATTCCCACTTCCTTTCTATATATCTCATTTCCATTAGTCCGTCTAGCCTACCCCTTCCTGTCCTGGGCTTTATCCTTTGGAAATACTTCTCTGTGACTGTATGTGGCTGGTGACAGCGAGTGTCTCTTTGGTGTTCCTGGCAACCTTACTGCCTTGTCTATCGCTTGACTGAAAGGTGAACCAAGGGGTGAGATTTGTTCCCAGAGCAAAGAGTGACAAAGGGCCATCGTCTTAGGTACTCTACCAGTCTCTGTTGTACCGCACAAGTTTAATGATGTTGTTCTATCACTTACACACTCTATTGGATCATTTTCTTCTTCTTTTTTTAATGGGTACAAATATGGATCTCTTTCAGTCAGTTGACCAGGTAATAGTTTTCCAAATTTCTAAGTCTAGCCTACAGAGCACATCCAGGGCTGCTCTGTTTGCTAAAACACCTCATTTGGCGTTCTGTCAATTGCTGGCGTTTTCTTTTTCAGCAATGCCTTACAGTGCAGCTAGGAATCCTTTCAATACCATTGATTGTTTATCATACGCTACTTCCTGAAATGGCTCCGTGTTGACCAACTCTTTTTGGTAACTGGTTCTGTGTATTCCTTCATCTTCCTTTGATACTTCTTGTATCATCCAATATTTTGTTGATAGACTCCTTCAATATTGGAATTCAAGGTTTGCATTTGTTTTTCAGTACTTTCAACTTGAGAAGCAACAAACATGTTCTTTTTTTTTTTTTATTTTCTAACTCCAGGTCTTTGCACACATTGTTTGAGTACTTTGCTTCTTAAGCTGCCTTTTGAAATATTTGGTTTGTTAATCAGTCAATCAATCAATCAATGAATCAATCATGTCTTACTTTCGTTTTGTCTTTTCGACCTTGAATAAGTTTCAGAATCTCTTTTGATGTCCATTTTGGTCTTTTCTTTCTTTTTTATCTTTTTAATGACCCTTTGTTTTCTTTATTGCTGGTGTCCTTGATATTATCCCCAAATTCATTTGATCTTTTTGAGTTCAATACATCAATTTTATTTTGAGAGAGTTTTAAAATCCAGGTGACATAAATGCAAGGCTGTAGTTTGGTTCTTGTTCACTTACTTTAATTTCTTCAGTTTGAACTTGCCCAGAAGCAATTGATCTCGCATCATCCTGTGCAGACCTTGTTTTGGGGGCTGATGTTGGGCTTCTCCATCATCTCTGCCACAGACATGGGCAACCTGACTCCTGCACATCCCATCCAGTGAGGTCCACGAGTCCACCATGTGCGGGTTTTTTTTTAAAAATTTTTATTATTTTGTGTGTGTGTACCGTCAAATCAGATCTGACAGGTACAGGAGGAGATTGCACCTCCTTCTCTGGCAGAGCATCTGGTGGATTAGAACTGTGTACCTCTGGGATTGCAGTGCAGCTTCTTGCCACTAGGTCACCAGAGCTCCCCCATGTGCGGTTTTAAAAAGAAATTATTTCTTGTTTTGCTTTTTTCTAAGTACTTATTCATGCTTACACACTTTTAAATAAATTTTGACTGTAAAAAATTCTATTAGCAATCTCTAGCTTCGTTTCTGCCACCAAGGCCATATTTTCTATCTATCAGTCTTCCTTCTTTGTTTCCAACTTTTACATTCCAGCCACCAATTATTATTAATACACACTGATTGCATGTTTGATTAGTTTCTTACTGTACATATTGATAAAAATCCTCTATTTCCTCAACTTTGGTATTCAAGGTTGGTGTGTCTTTTTGAATAATAGCTGTATTAGCAGATCTTCCTAACACGCATATGAATATCATCCTGTCACTGGCACTGTACTGTATATCTTGAAATGCTCTGTTTGACTCTAAATGCAATACTGTTACTCTTTGTCATTCCTGGTGTAATAGACCATATGCTTTTCCGATTCAAAACGACCTCTACCAGCCCTTCTCCCCTCACTAATGCCTGTGATACGGACCTTTATCTTTTCCATTTCAGTTTGTACAGTATCCAATTTTCCTAGGTTCTCAGTTCATACATTCCATGTTCCAGTTATTTGTGGATGTTTCCAGCAGTGTCACATCATCTTGAATCTTGCTACATTGGCAAATGAAGGTCCTTCACTGGGTGAAGCTTCACTCCAGCCGAGTGACTGGGTTAGACTCTACTTCCTCAGCTGAATTCTGGATGACTTCCAGCCGGAAGGGCTCATCTTCCAGGACTGCGTCTTAAGTGTTATTCACAGGGTTTCCCAAGGGTCTTTTGTTTCGGAAGTAGATGGACAGTCCTACTTTTTACTGTCTTAGTCAGGAGGCAATCGTTTCATTACATCTTTGCTTCTCTTCCTTCTGCTTCATTCTGGACAGGGAGACACCAGTGGTTGCTACTTTTTGTGATTTTAGCATTTATCACACACTAATTGATTTCATAAACGTCCCATTGAGGTCTTAACAATAACTCTGAAAAGTCAAGAAAATTCTCTTAAATCCATCGTGGATACAAAGTTGAATCAGGATTTGAACCTAGGCTTACCTGACCCCAGAGACCTGTCCTCTTTCTCACTGCCTGGGGAACTAACACAAGCAACAAAAGGTGGAGAACCGATCAAGGACTATTTCTGCAGGTGTCCCCGGCCCTGTGCCACAGAGACTAACCATCTGCTTCCCATTGTCAGCGTCTAGGTGGTGTTCACACTGCAGCAGCAAGAAAGTATTTGGTTCGTAAACAAGAGGAAGAGGAACAGATGCTGAAGGAGCTACATCTGGGGCCCCCAGACTACGAAGAGACAACGGAGCCTAGAAAGCAACCCCTATTTCCTTGTTCCATGTGTGCACCCTTGGAAAAGATATGGACAGCAAAGGTGGTTGTGCCCCCAGAAGAGTTCAAAATGCCACAGCGAGAAAAGATCAGCATCAATAAGCACATAGAAAGGATGCAACTTGCTCAAGTTCAAAGGAAAAGGCAGCTCGTACCGTTTTTATTAAGGTCAGACCCTGGGCCAACTGCAAAAGACGAGGCCAGAGAAAAAGAAGGTAGTTATGATGTCAATCCAGAGAAGAAAAAAGAGACAGTGCGTAAAGCCACAAATAAGCCAGAAATAAAAATGAATGTCACTTTCAGATCAGAAGAACCAACACCAAGATTAACACATAAGGTCAATGACGAGAGGCCGTTTCTCCCCACAACAAAGCCGGGACGGTGCATCACTGGCCCAACAAATCGATGCATGTTCCAGTTTTTTTGAATTCCCAGGAGATCTCCTGCTAATGAATCAGCATTTTGTATCATGGGGAGTCCACCTCAGGGATGTGGTAAAGGGCTTTCACTCTGAAAAGAGAGGGCAGCTGGGATGAGTCTCCATGCAAAACTGTGTCTCACTATTAATAAAGATTCTTTATTTCCTAGATTAGCCAAATGCCCTGATTCTGAATGTCCTGATTCTCATTACTTCTGCTTGCTCTGCTCCAGCTTCTCCCCAACCCTTCTTTTCTTAAGATCTTGGCTTTTTCTGCTGAGTTTCCAGGGATCCTTAAGGTAAGATTTAGATACCGAGCTTCCCTTGCTTCAGACAGCTGCCATCCTCGTTAATAGATCAGACTTTCTTAAGTTATCAGACCTCCCCTCTTGTCCCGCTCTCACTGAAGTCCAGATCAATTAACTTTTAGGAAACAAACCAACCCAAAATGTAATGACTCAAAATATCAACCACTAATGTAGTTTATAAGTCTGGGTTGACAATTTAGGCTGCGCTCAGCGGGGCACTTCCTCTGATTTTAGCCAGCTCCCAAACGGGTCTGCAATCAGCCGCAGGTCAGTTCACCGACCCCTCTTTGGGAGGGCTAGCAGTGACTATCAGCCGGGTTGAGAGGATGACAGCCTCATGTGCTTCCAACAGGCTAGCTTAGGCTTATGCACATGGCACTGCAGGATCCAAAAGAGTAGACATTATCTTGTTTGCAATTACAAAGAGTAGGAAACAACTCAAGTGCCCATCAACAAACAATTGGATAGAGAAGCTCTGGTATATTCACACTATGGAATACTATGCAGCATTGAAAAACAAAGACCTCATGAAATATTATGCAAAATGGGTGACCCTGGAGGACATTATGCTGAGTGAAATATCTCAGTCACAAAAGGACAGTTATTGCATAGAGCCACTGTTGTAAAATGGGACTGACATCAGGATTGAGGGAAGCCTGAAAAGGAGGGGAGGAATGATGTATACTGCATTGAAACAGATGAGGGGACATATGAATGGGCATTATTGTCATTACAGGAGTCCAGGGTGAAGACTGCATAGTGAAATGGACTTGGGGGGAAGGATTGCATAACAATGAAAGAATTTTTCTTTTACTTTTCAAGGAGAAGAGTGAATTGTGGGGGAGGGGTGGGTAGGGAGAAAAGTGCAACAATGAATGAATAGAAACTCTAAGTCTCTGCAAACTTTCATTAAAATTAACTTTTTTTAAAAAGAGTAGAAATTGTCACAATTTCTTGAGGTCAAGGCTGAGAACTGATTTTCCATCATTTCTGCTACATTCAATTTGCTAAAACAAATCACAAGGTCAACCCAGACATCTCTTTATGAGAATACATGTGAAGTGCTATTGTAAACAGCATGACCAGAGAGAAAATGAAATAACTAGAGGATTATTTGAATTGAGGTCATTATTGCAATCAGTCTACTACAGAGACACTAAGCTGGGACCAGACAACCATCTAAGGGGGAAGCTTAACGGTAAAGTATCTGTTCCATGTTCTCACCTCCACCTTCTACACTGAAAGGCAGGGCAGCCCATTCCTAGTACTATCTCTGTGCAGTCCACCTCCTTACTATCTAATCATTTGAAGTTAGATAGCAAGTAGAACTGGAGTCTGTTTCATTTCTTTGGGAGGTCTGATGAACATGCCAAGATTATCTGAAGTTGGCTCCAAGTTTATCTGAAGTTGGCTGATTTCTTCCCTGTGAACTGAGTCCTACACACACACACACACACACACACACACACACAGCAATGGGATGCTCCTTATTTTACATCTCGTATAGCAACTCTTATGTCCTTACCAATGACCCCACATACATCCTCAGTCACACTCAGACCAGCCAGCAGTGCCAAGGCCCTCTATAAGAACGCCATCGTTAGCACTGAGTCCTTAAAACCACAAGCATGGCACCACCATTATAGAGCCAGGGCTTGATAAGACCAGCTCCTTCTCTCTTGTTCCAGTGACTGGACAGTAGACTGTTGATATAAGTCTTCAAATGTGTAACATGTCTAGACTTAATCACTAAGAAAGAACGAATGGTCCTCATGGGGTTTTCCTACTCCAAGTGGGAGGAAACAGCAATATAGATTATTGTCATGGTTTGGTTAACACAACATCCCCCCAAAAGCTGGCTGTCTGATGGGATAAGCAAGGTTTGAAGCCTTAGAGTTGTGGTGTTGGAAAAGAGTATTGAACATACCATAGACTGCCATGTAATCTCTTCCCACTGGATTGATTTCTATTTTCCCTTTCTAAAGAATAACAGAAGTGGAGAAATAGTCATCAAATCTATGGGTCGGTTCTGACTCTGTGGTACACAACAACAACAACAACAACAAGAAGGAACAAACGGTCTAACCTGGAGAAAGTAAAGCCAAGTTCCTCCTTGGAAGCAACAATTTTTTTTTTTTTATTTTTTTTTTAGGCTGCATAATGGAGTGAACTTGGGGGGAGGGATTGCATAACAATGAAAGAGTTTTTCTTTTCAAGGACAAGAGTGATTTGAGGGGGAGAGGGTGGGCAGGGAGAAAAGTGCAACAATGAATGACCGGAAACCCTAAGTCTCTGTAAACATTCATTAAAATTAATAAAAACAAACAAAGACCAATGAAAAGATAAGACTGAGTTTCCAGTTCTGCCATTCACTATTATGCGCTCTTTTTCTCACTTATAAAATGAAGATAATAATACAAAAAAGGAAGCAAAGATTTCAAAACTCCTTATCATGTACTCTGAGCATGTCTCCAGGAGGGGCCAGTCCTTGGAGAAAAGAACATCATGCTTGGAAGGGTAGAAGGTCAGCACAATAGAGGAAGACCCTGGATGAGGTGGATTGACAGTGACTGTGGCAATGAGGTCGGATGTATTGGAAACCATAAGGTTGACTCAGGATAGGGCAAGGTTTAGAGCCTTTGTTCACAGAGTCTCTGTGACTCAACAGCATATAACAACATCTTTGATGACCTTTTCTCCACTTGTTACTTGAAAATTTTTAGTTCATTATCAACTTTCATTTTTTAATCTGTCATTTCATACAACTCTATTGGCTTCTGGAAATAAAACCAAACCCCACACTGAAGAATAACATAACACACAAAGCTGGCCAACCCCAGTGTTTTCGTTGATGTCTATAGATGTCTTTTGGAATGATGGCCAAAAGGTAGTTGACCTTCACTCGTCTCCTTTCCCAAGTGTAGTATCATGTGACTGGGCCCGATGCATAGTTTGTACTCTATGACCCAGCACTGTTGTTATCTGATACAACAAGTGGACATAGGACTCATTCGAAACCAATTAGATTACATACCTAAGAGTTTCAAGCTGCAATCAAAGGTAAGATGTTTGTTGTTGTCTCTTTGAAGAATGAGCAAATAAACTTGAGAACTTTGCGGCACTCATCTTAAATCTGCACACAGGAGAGGCTGCCAGCTAGAGAGAAGAGTAAGTGAAGCAATGGTGTTAGATGTGAGATCATGAGAAAGAAGAAAGGCATTTGCTCAAATCAGGTACCTATCCCTATAGCCCTTCAAGTCTACAGTTACTCTCAGTTCTGGTAATAAATTTTCTCAGGTGTTTGGGTTTTTTCCCCCTCGCTGCACCATCCCTATGCATTTATACTGTTGCAACAAAAAAGGTATTTACTAAGATTATGACAAGCAATTGTTAGTTATTCTGGGGGATGAGGATATTCAACATTTCTGTACCAATTATTCAAGGACATTGCTTGTATTCTTAATAATTGGTGAGCCTTTTTATTCTTCTGTTCATATGATTTTGTTTTCATTAATCTCAATTCCCTGTTACCTTCCCAACTTTGCTTTAGAGGAAGTATTGACCGTTTGATCTCTACAGGTTTTTCAAATGACCACAATACTCACAGCTGATGTTCTTTATTTTTTAATTTATTCTGTTACTTAACTGAAAGGCCACTTCAGAGACTAGTTTTAGTTCAAGGTTTAAAAAGTATATCAGGACAATAGCCTTGGGGAGTCCTCTAATCTTCAATTGTCCCAATGAGTCTAGAATTCTTAAGAATTTGAGGTTCTGTTCAAAATTTCCCTCCCATTTTTATTAGGATCAATCTGTTGTTACCCAGATAAGAACGGTGAGTAGTAGCAGGTGGAACCATTTACTTCTGTTCTCAGTAGAGAACAATGGTGCGTGTCGACTTTTAGTGTATAGACCAGTTTCTTCTTTGAATCACTAGTTTCCTTCTATTTTGTTCCAGACAAGAAGAGACCAAAACTGTCTCTTAGATGGATGCTTGCAAGTCTTTAAGACCTCAAGCACTAATCACCAACTAGGAAATAGAAAAGAAACTTTATAAACCATATTATGCCAATTGATTGACTTGTCCCCCTAGTTGTTGTTGTTGTTGTTTGATGCCATCGAGTCGTAGACGACTCATAGCGACCCTATGAACGAACAGCCTGAGCACTGTTCGTACATAGAGTTTCCAGAGGCAAGTCATTTCGGAAGTGGATGCCGCTCCTGCTTCCAGGCTTGATTTAGTCGGGAAGCTCCAGCCAACACTGTCCACTGTGGGTGCCCATTACCACAACTGGCACATCACTGTCACAGGCTTCAGCATCACAGCAACCACGGGTTACCTCTGTACAGCAATGCACAGACCAGTGCTATACCACCTAGAAGAATGTTTGACAGGAAGACAATTTGAACCTGGCCGAGGGCCACAGATGACAGTCACCCACCTTCGGCTTGGTAGCACAGCTTCCTTCCACTAGGCCAACGTAGCTCTCTCTTGGTCGTAATCATTGTTATTGTTTTTTGATACCATCGAGTCGTAGACGACTCATAGCGACCCTATGAACGAACAGCCTGAGCACTGTTCGTACATAGAGTTTCCAGAGGCAAGTCATTTCGGAAGTGGATGCCGCTCCTGCTTCCAGGCTTGATTTAGTCGGGAAGCTCCAGCCAACACTGTCCACCAAGAGCATGATTTTAAGACTTCATACCCAGACAATCAATGCCGGGAGGTGTTTGGTTATGTCTAAGAAGTATCTAAGACGTGTGCCCTTTTTGTCTTATAGTATATGAAAGTATACACATACATGTATGTATATGCTTATAGTCACACACACACATCCCTCCTC